AATTGTAGATAACAGAGTAGATAGAGAGATAAAAAAAATAGAAGTAAAAACACCCATAATTATTACTTCATATCTTTCTATAGATGTATAGAAAGATAGAGAGAGGTGCACCACCAACTATACTGACAATCCATATTTCTTATCGGGATCGAGAGATGGAGAAGAGCAAAGAAGTTTGTGATAGAAAGATGTAGAAGAGAAGGAATTGTAACGGTAAAAGATGATGAGTAAAGAAATTTATGATAAAAAGACGTAGAAGAGAAGAAATTGTAACGGTAGAAGATGAAGAGTATAAGTTTTAGATTAAATATAAAATCTAAAATTTGAGGAAAAAGGAAGACATGAATACTAGTACAAGGAGATGTCACGTCAACATTGTATGTTTCTGCTTTATATATATATATATATATATATATATATATAGACTATTCATGATGAATGTTATAGTGAGTTGTATATTCATGATAAATATCATATTGATGTGTGAATAATAAGTAATTGTTGTATACATACATAAATAATCATGATGAATATTACACAAATATACAATTTCTTGTAAAACACAGTTAAAAAAACTGTATCGAGATGAATGTCAAATCGAAGAGAATAAAATGCTCATTTTTTATATAATTTGTTTGATTAAAATATTAATTATTTTTAAGAAAATTTAATTTAAAATCTGAAGGTGGAAAAGTTTTTTAATCGAAAAATAAAATAAAAAGTCAAATACAAACGTGTACCCAGAGAATTAGCATATAAGCTAGCTTATTTTTGCCAAATAATGCTTAAACAATATCAATAGTTAGATTCAGGATAAAACCTCAAATAAATGAAAAAACCAAAACATATATTATCAACCGTTATGTAGAGTTTGGTACGCAGACATGATTGACCAAGACAAAATTGGACAGAACTGGATGGGTCAAGACTGGACAGAACAAGTGTCTCTGGTGTTTGGTACGTCTAGAACTGACATGACAGAACTATACAAATTGCCCAAAAAAGTTATTTTATGATTAATATATATATATATATATATATATATACACACATATATCATATAATAGTTATAATTAAAACAAATAAAGTAAATAATTTAATTTATAAACATTTTTTAATACAATTTTCATATATATAAATATAAAATAGTATCAAATTAGAGTGAAAGTGGAGATGGCCAATGCTTGTAGTGGCAATGGCCAATGGTGGTTGTGGAGATAGTGATAGACGATCGTGGTCGGTGGTCGATGGTGGTT